TTATCACTTGAAACACATCAAGACAACTAAACAAACCTAGAAACCGAATGAAATCATTGTTTAAACCACCTTTATCACTTGAAACACATCAAGACAACTAAACAAACCTAGAAACCGAATGAAATCATTGTTTAAACCATCTTTATCACTTGAAACACATCAATACAACTAAACAAACCTAGAAACCGAATGAAATCATTGTTTAAACCACCTTTATCACTTGAAACACATCAATACAACTAAACAAACCTAGAAACCGAATGAAATCATTGTTTAAACCAATCTTTATCACTTGAAACACATCAAGACAACTAAACAAACCTAGAAACCGAATGAAATCATTGTTTAAACCAACTTTATCACTTGAAACACATCAAGACAGGTAATTCTGTATTTTTTTGTTTCCTTATTTGTTACGAAGCAAAAAGTTACATAATGCGAGTATCGGAGCCGGTGTAGATAATATTTTTTTTTATATAATTTACAAAACCAATAGAGGGACAACTACTTGAATTTTATGTCGATGTTTTGGATCAAATTTCAGTTTTTTGTTTCTCAAACAGTCCTATAGTTTGTTCGTTCGTTCTGAATTTCGTACAAAACTACCAGAGGGCTATCTGCGCTAGCCGTCCCTAATTTTGAACTGATAGACTGGAGGGAAGGCCTAGTCAACATCACCCATCGCTAACACTTAGGCTATTCTTTACCAACAAATAGACCATTTATATCATAACGCCCCAATGACTGAAAGGGCGAGCACGTTCGGTGACAGGATTCGGACTCGAGTTCCCTAACCACTTGACCATACCAAGGCTAAAACACGTCTGCCTACAGTCCGTGAAATAATACTTAGATGTCTGACGGAACTTGGTTTGAAATCATCCATAACAATTAACAAGTAACACGGTGATATTAGCCTAACCTGAACATCGCTATAGAATAAATTTAAAATATTACATAAGAAAATCGAAACTCACCGAGTACTTTCCTGGCCTGAAACACTGATGGTGTGTAGGTAAAGAGGAACCCACGTTATCCAACTAAAAAATGAAAATGAGTAGGCATGTTAAAAATATCATAAAAAAACTGTTCATTCTTAGACTGATCTATATATAAAACTCAAAATCTCTCTGTTTGTTTGCTTGCTTGTCCGCCGCGTTCATGCCACATTTCCTTCACGTGAAGGTGCGCAAAACGACAATTTTTCGTTGATACACACGTCTATCGTCTGCTAGCCGAACCGGTAATTTTATCGTTAACATGTACAGTACACGAATAAGTTCTATGCAGGCCTGACATTTTTTTTTATAAGTCTGAGTTAACACTTAATTTAGAATATAGCATTATAGGCCTATTTAGTTATAGATTATTAATCATACATCTAATAATACGTTATATATTTAACCTCACACACACAAAGGAAATGTATGCATGATTAGAATGTTCTGTGTGAAAAAACAAACAGTAGGCCTAGCCTATAAAATAAATTCATGACGTCCACCATAAAATAGACTACGAGAAAAAATAAGGCTTACATTATAATACTTATTGTGTAAAATGAGATTAAAATCAAGTCAGCCAATGTATTTTATTCTACCTTTTTTTCTCCCGATGGTTCAATACCTTGAAGTGGATTTTTTTTATACGTTATAGAGTACAATATTGTATTTTGTTTGTAGTATATTTCATACATCAATGTGAATACGGTATCGTATTAATAAAAATACATTAAATTTACATTAAAGCAAATTCCACATAATACATATTTACGTATGAAATTTTAGTATTTGTGGAGGGGGGGAATAGAGCTAGGCTTATCCTGTTCACAAGAACAGGTGCTCATACGCGTATAAGAGAATCTAAATATTCTCCATAAAGGCCTATTTATCCTTGCCAGTGAAGGAAAAACAAAAACATCGTTCATAAGGAAGCCCTGATTTAAAATATGTTCGTAGTTTATTTTGAAATATCAAACCTAAGGTTGTTTTTTTTCTCTTTTCATAAATTCACAAAATATTTTTCACCTGGATATATGGAACTGGGAAACAGAGAAAGTAGGTTTGTTTGTTTTTCGAAAACCCGGGCATCACCAGGTAGCGCTGTTAGTTATCTATATATACAAAGGTTGGGTTCGTTATATTAAAACGATTTTGGTGCATCACCTCATAGTTACAGTCCATCCCGCTACTTCTGGTCATAGTCCATCTGACGATCGTTCATCTGGGCAATAGCATGTAGTGTAGTTTTCATTGCAAAAGGCTCCGTCGTAAGGCTGTCATGTTAAAATCATACCCTTCCTCCATGCTTGGTTTCCATAAGGCATCTACTGTGTGAGAAGGATGATTTCCCAGTGCCAATTTCAGCACTGTGATTACACGAAAATCCATAATTGCTGCGTTGAGTATATCTTTGCATGAGAAATAGCATGAATACCCATTTCATTCTCCAGCTGCTTGAGGTATGCGACGGTTGAACAGGAAGTATGGCTGAATGTTTTATCATGGTGAACCCATACCCTATTGACCTCGTTTACACACGGTGATCCTTCTGGATTATGTTATGTATTGCTATCTGGGACAGCTTTTCCCATTGTCCTGCAGATACTTGTGGATTCTCACCTGTTACAAAACGCCGAACATTGCTTACCACGGCTACAGTACGACTTTTTGCTGGTCGCTTTCTGTATGGACCTGGGACCCCAAGTTGATCCATAATCGTTTGTTTTCCAATGCCATTAAGAACAAGGGATATATCACCGTCTTGGAAATTCTAAATTCTCCATCTGAACACATCTTTATGATCCAAGTGTATGGATATCTTGCTTCGGGAAAATACTATTACATACCATTCCCGAAAGCGACCAATTACGGTGGCATCACACTACCTACAAACGCTAAACAATGTCAAAATGTAATCCTGATATATTCCGTTCCACCACGACTTGTTGTGTTGTGCCATATCATTAACACTGAAAATGTTAAAGACATGCACGCGAACCATGATTACAGACCAACAAATGAGCTACAGACATAATATGATATATACATTCACGCTAGGGTAAATGTGCATATTTGGCGGCTACTTTACACATTAAGAAGTGTTTCGAGAATGTGCGTATTCTCTGTTGAATAATGAGGTTTCGCAAATTAACTGGACAATGTGCACATTACCCAGCGGAAATTGTGTATATTAACCAAGGCACGCTCACCGCAATAGTATCATGAAATGAATTTGTAAGTAAATTTTTTTAACCATTCTACGTTGATTTAGGCGTTTTGTACTCAAGGCTCTCACAGCTGGCTCCATCTTTGGTGAATTTCAATAACTAGTCACGAAGATCTTTTACACACGTGGCGTGAAAATCAAAACAGACAAAGAATCATATTAAGAATAAATCAAACCACACAGAACCAATAGTGGACTTCATTCTCACCACAAGCAACCAACGGTGGATTTCACTTTCAATAAAAACAACCAAAGACAGATTTCATTATTACTACACACAACCAATGGTGGACTTTATTCTCATCACTAAGATGCAACCAACGGTGGACTTTACTCTCAATACAAACAACAAACGATGGACTTTATTCTCATCACCAACAAGCAACCAACGGTGGACTTTACTCTCACTACACACAACCAACGATCGACTTTACTCTCAATACAAACAACAAACGATGGATTTCGCTATCACTACACACAACCAACAGTGGACTTCATTCGCACAAAAAGAAACTCCAAGTACTAAAAGATTAATAATTAAAATGAAGACAGTTGAGAAAACATTTTAATTACTATGTTCGAACATTTCGTAATAAATTCACCCCATCTTCCAAAACGTTCGAACATTCCAAATAAAATGTTTTAGCAACCGTCTTATCTTTATTATTAGACTTCCGTCCCCCCCCCCCCCGATCAGGGAAAGATTAAAAAAAAAATTAAATTCCGCCTCTTGCAACTAAATGGCCTTGGGGGGTGTTTTTGTTTTACTTTTCCAAAGAAAAAAACCCACTTAGGTAAAACAATACACTAAGACCTTATTAAGTTATTGATTGTACTTGCCCAAAGAAAGGGTAATTAAAAATTATCCTTCTTATTTTTTTAATTATTATTGTACAAAAAAAAAAATAAAAAATTAAGCAACGATAAACTTATATTTACTTCTTGGGCAAGAAGTAATTAATTCATTGATAAACTTATATTTACTTACGAACATGGCAGCATTAAGGCAGATACTTTTTTTTTTGCCACTTCCACGTGATCGCTCCAGAAATTAAGCCTTTTGTATTAGTTATGTAATTAATCATGTGATTAGTCACGTGATCGCTCATCGCTCGTGATTGGTATCTCGACCTGGTGCGGCGGGTTGCTTCTCTCCCGCATTACAAAATTAAATAAAAACATAATACATCAATTTTTTATAGTCGCTTCAGTTCAATGTTTCTTAAATTTGCCGCCGTCGGCATCTGCCAACACTAACGAGTATATGTAATATTCATTCATCTTCCGTACCAGTAGGGACAGCGGTAAGTTCACGTATTTACAATGTCAAAATCCCGGGTTCGATCCCCCCGCGAAGAACGCAACTTTGGTCTAAAACAAACAAACAAAGCAATCCCTACCAGAAGTGACATTTTAATACGAACAGAAAAGTTTCAGATTATTTTTACACAAACGACGAATATACGCGTGCTGTTAGTTACAGGTCATCTGGTATTAACATCTTAAATGTCTGCTTATAAAAAGTGTCCATGAATTGTAGAGTATCAGTTAGCAGAGAATTGCAACAAGAAACGTACTGATACACTGCTTTACTTACTCTTAAGCTAATGTTTCCGTAACTGACATGTGCTGATAATTGAAATGTGTAAGTTTGTATTGTTAAATGTTTTCTCGTAGTCACAAAATAGAGAATTTTTTTTTATACTCCCATTTGTATTATTATTTCTCTTGAATAGTAGTTTTGGAAGGTTTTAATTATCTTCGCGTTAGATAACCCTATACAGTCAACCCACCGTTTCCTGTAACTCTGGTTACGAGTCAATCTGTACATTATTTCACGATCTAAGATCCTAATCACTAAGGCACATTTCCCGTTGGTTTATTCAAAACTTCGTTGGTCCCCAAAACCAACAAAAGAAACCTGGAGTGCGCAGGTGTGTTTCTTTTCAAGCTTCACATTTCCACTTAGAGAGACCGGAAAAGACAGCTTGCTATTTGAAGAAGTTGAAATTTTCGAGTCGATATTGACGTATTCGGCTTTTATCACAACCCTAGAAAATCGATCATAAACAACACTAAAAATATCATTATCTCTTCAATACTGTATTTCATTTCATTTTCCTTTATCCTGCTCCTCGCGTAATAGATCTGTCATAACAGTAGTCACCATACACATACTCGAAACAACTTCAAAGCAATCATTTTTTTTTGTTTCAATAATAATGCTTAACCAGAAAGCTTCTGTTTAGTGCAAGTGATATCAGTACTTTGTGATATGACAAAACGAAAAAACTTAACACTAAAACGTTAAAAAAATATATTTAAAATGAAAATAAGAAGCACGGTTTAAAAACTGATCGAACTGTATACACCTATTAATTCCTTTGTTTTTTTAACGACAATATTTTATAAAGTAAAAGTATTTGTCCAATAAAGTTTGTGTTTAATTCATTCTGCAGACAGATGATTATAAAGAAAAACATACTTTTAAAACTATCGTCCTTCAAAAACTACTCTTTTTAAGAAATCAACATTTTACCAGAGGCATACTGAAAATCATGTTTCTTGCAATATTTGCTCAATAAAATTTCCGTCACAAGTTTTAATACTCTTAAAAATACAAATAGGTTTACAAACACATGAAATACTTTTTTTATTATTACAAAATAATTTAAATTTGAGAATTTAAAAACCTGCAAATAGGGTCGTAAAAAAAGTAAGGAAACAAGGCTGGAGGTACTGTAAATATTATTTAATGTCAAACTATAAACCCCTATGTGGCTCCATGCTGTTACCTAAAATTACATTTGGTGGAGTCAAAATAGAGATTTGTAGTTTGAGTAAATAATGTCTCCAGCATCCCCAACCTTGTTTCCTTACTTTTTTTTTTCCTACGATCTTTATTTGCAGGTTTTTAAATTAACAATTTTTTATTTATTTTATTTTCTGGCTTTTTTATGCTCAACTTGATTGGTAGCTAACTTTATACATTGTAATGATAATAAACATAACTAGTAAAATGTAAAATATTAAGCTGCAGCTGGAGATTTGTTTGAGAATATAGTAAGCATTTATAGTTTTTTGTGTAACTAAATTCTCTGTATATAATCTATAACAATGAGCAAACATATGCCTAGACTTAAGACACAATCCCACTAAGTGTGTGCAAAATTTTAGCGATAGAACAGCAACCAGTTCAAATAAAACATATACGTCTAAAACATTACTTTAAATAAACCGTCTTTTAAAGTAGGCCCCCAGTGGCACAGCGATATGTCTGCGGACTTACAACGCTAGAAATCTGATTTCAATACCCGTGGTGGGCAGAGCACATATAGCCCTTGGTGTAGCTTTGTGCTTAATAACAAACAACAAATACAACCAATAAGGACGTCCCAATGACCCAACGGGAAGTCTGCAAGCTTACAACCCTAAAAATCTGATTTCGATACCGTTGGTGGGCAGAGCACAGATAGCCCATTGTGTAGCTTTGTGCATAACTACAAACAACTTTTAAAGTAATTATTCTACGAATGTATGTAATAAAATTTAATATTACGTGTACTGATTTTTTTTACTCCTTCACTTCATACATAACATAGGGATTAGCTCTCTAAAAACAACGATTGTATGGTGTACAAAGCATTGAGTATCTACATGTTACAGTCATCTAATGTTCATCTATTACTGGCTGGTAATTCCTGTTTCACCCTGTACTTGAACTTTTAAATGAACACCAGATATTCCTAAGAAAGCTAACTTCAAGGGGTAATGATAACATCGCTTACACTAGAATTGCGATATTTTTATCTTATGTCAAATATAGAAAAAACAAATCGACTTTTAAGTACCCTTACGAGCTTTGCAGTACCTTATTTAGTAATCTATAAAAGGTTTAGGTGCAATATACCATGCCGTTTTTATTGTAGGCTGGTAAGAAAATAATAAGAAGAAGAATAATTTAAAACTGGCCGTCTTGAGCGGAATTTCTTTTCCTTCCCTAACATACATGCTTTTTTATATGTGTACAGCCTTAGCTGTCAATAGCAAAAGTTTTAAACTGTTGTTTGAACTGAATCTTTACTGTTTAAAGTGCTATTGCCCGAACGTTGTATTAGGGTTTGTTTGTTTTTTTAAATTCCTTACGGTCCCTATTATTGAACCACTATCGTGGTTCACGATTATTCAATCTAAACCTTAAACAAACATCAAGGTTAAAACTTGAGGCGCCTACTTTTAAAATGTTAAATTTGAATTAGGTCTCTTTTGCTGTTCAATAAATGTCGTCAATATAATTGTAGGAAAATAAAGTGAAATATCAAGCATAGTGCCTAATGGTTAAACTGAATGTTATATCGTACATCCATTATTACAACATTTAGCTTACAAGCTGTATATAGTTTGATACTATTACGTCTGACAGGAGATTAAGTTTACCGGAAGTGGAGGTACGTCGATGACGACACGCCGTCGCCTGAGCTCTTCCAAGCGTTCGACAACATCCTGGTAATGAGTTCGTAGTTCTTCCGAGTACCGCTTGGCGAGGGTTTCCAACTCGCCACGTGACCCGTCCTGTAATGGAAAACGGCGACATAGTTAGCGGTGACGTTAAAATATTAGCCAACAATAGAACTATTCATGAATCAGTATATTTGTCACGCACTTATTTGAAATATAAGTATGGAAACGTCTATACGCTAATTTACAATTTCACATGAGCGCGATCATTTTAAAGCGTGCCTCGTGCTTAGACCAGGATGGCATCAGCTGTCGCAGAACTTACAAGGTCAATGGTGCAAAAAATCAACACGGTAATGAAGCATGAAAGGAGATATAAGTTCAAGGAAAGCACACATTAGTAGATGATCAAGATATATCACCCGGCAATAACTTTTAATAAAAAAGCTGAATCTAAAAATCACCATAAAAGTTCTTTTTAACTGCCTGTTTTATGATTCAAAAAGTATTTGTTAAGACCACGTCCTTAATCTTCATTTATTCAAATTAAGCTGTAAATTAGAGTTAAATTTGGCCCATCTGTGTGTAAATACGTTTAACTGTTAGGCTTAGGCTAATATGTATACACACAGTAATTTTTAGGAGTTCTATTTAATAGTTGCAGATGAAGAGCTCATATGTTTATGATAATAAATACAGTTTACTAATTTCGCTATAATATCAAGGTTTGAATATTAATATTAGCCTAACTGACAAACAGTCAAAACCACTTAACTAAAACATTGCATATACAAGTAGGTTGAAGGCAACTATTTGTATGTTCTAGGCCTAAGTAACTGCACTAACAAAACAGTTAATATATGTAATATACAAGTAGGTTGAAGGCAACCATTTGTATGTTCTAGGCCTAAGTAACTGCACTAACAAAACAGTTAACTTAATATATGTATCATCTAATGATACAAAATTTGTTTAAAAACTTATGTTTAGGTTTTACATTATTACCATAACTTAAGAAGGATACGTCTAGTTTGACCTCACTTATCTTATACTCATGATACTGGGCTTGGTGTATCTAACTTGTGCCTAAGAATTACTCGGGTCTTAGGCTAAGCCTGTACTGTTAATTTTAAAGTATATACTAACTGGAAGATATAATACGACAAGAAAAATCTTGATTTTAAAACGAGATTGAAAATTTCCACAAAATTTATAGTGATTAAGCTGCGTTGTGTCATCAGTTGGGAACCTTACTGACAAAGTCTTCTGAAGGTTTATTTCATATGACTAACAATTCATGACCTTATGCCTGCTTGGAGTTAGACTACTTAGGCCCCAATCGTTCGACTATGTATTGATCATATTAACAGGCCTAATGCAAGCTATTCATTCTAAAAACTGTTGTAATGTAAAAACTTAAATGAATTATTTACATATATGTATAGATTAACATTAGTTTAATCTCACACCAATTTTTCTCGCACTCTTATTAAATATTTAGCAGAAATCTTAAGTTATGCATATTACTACTAACTTTTAACCGTACTAGTGAATGGCTTAAGACTTTGACTATCTTAATACTACGCCATGTTTAAAATACAGTAATCTTACGCAAACGTCATTTAGATGGGACCAAACAGGTAATACCACCAAAATTAATACAAAAATAGTTATATTTCAATGACATTATTTAATAACTAATATAAGATTAAGTATAAAATTTACAATTATGGTAATTATTTTGAAAAAATTACAAATTTAACATCTCAGATTACTTCATTAAACAGCTATTGGTAAAAACTATTCAAAACAAAATATAATGGGATCACGATAGACATACAATGGTAGAATTAAAGAAAAGTCAACGTGCTGAAAATGAGGTATTATTTTAACTTACATGACCTAAAAATAAATGTGAAGCCCAATCTATCATTCGATTTACTACTCGTCATTGAGCTTTAACTGTTTCGGGGAATTCCCAAAACAATTTGTCTAACTGAATAATTCACAAGAATAATCACTAGCATCAATGCTACATATTCTTGAAGTTCCTATATAAATACAAGATTACTGTGGAAGTGAAAGACATTTCAAACACAATACAAATAAATTATAAAGTGGTTTAGCAAAGGAAACCTACTCCACAGTAAAAGGTCTTCTCCAGTTTTGTTTCATTAATTTTACTCAAACACATTTTATAAAACTACCTTTCACAAAAACTACACACTATTATTATTATTATTTACTTTTTGTGTGAATTGTCATTAATTTGAAAATAAGTGTCTCAATCCTCAATGAGTTGTTACTGAATGATCAATAATTATTAAAATTCACGTGGAAAATCAATAATTTACAAAAGGTACTGATGAAAAGTTTCGCATTAATGGCCTTTTTAAATTTTGGTTGTAACCGACAGGGAACAGAGTTGATCTTTTTTTTTATAAATCTTTATTTGAACTGTTTAATTTCAAAGCCTCAAGAAACAAAGTATTGTAATACAACTTCTGTCATCAATTGTCCAATTTTATCTTTTAATTTCATTCCCGTTAATCTAATTAAATCCTAGAAATATTCAAACCAATCACTGTCTAGCATGAGCTGAAATATACGCCGGTCTGTAAGTAACGACAGATCGAAAGTAAACCAGGAAAATATAACAAACCTCACTGTTCATTTTACAAAATTTTACACGTATTTGTCTCTTTGAAAGCTTTACTAATTTAAAAACAGAACTGAAGGCTTTGTCAATTTAAAGCCTGGGTGTTAGATAATGTTTCTCTATGAATGTCGTAAAAAGCGAAAATATTTAGTGAAGGCTACGTCTTACAATCACAAAACAGTCAAAGTAAACACACATTGAGTTGACAAGCATGTTCAGGCAGCTTATCACAGCCCAAAATGGTCTGACAGAAAAACACACAAAAGACACGCAGTCTGGAAGAGATTTCTTCATACTTTGTTTTCGATAACTACTACGAAGTGTAAGTAATATTGTTTCGAACTATCCACGAATCTCAGCAGGGTCAGTGTGAGACCAGTCTCCTACAAAACCCATTAAGTAGTTATTTCTGAGGTGGACAATGGATTACTGTTAATGGGATGGTCTCACACTGACCCTGCTGAGATTCGTGGATAGTTCGAAACAATATTACTTACACTCCGTAGTAGTTATAAAAATAAAATATGAAGAAATCTCTTCCAGACTGCGTGTCTTTTGCGTGTTTTTCTGTCAGACCATTTTGGGCTGTGATAAGCTGCCTGAACATGCTTGTCACACTATGTGTGTTTACTTTGACTTTTTTTGTGATTGAAAGACGTAGCCTTCACTAAATATTTTCACTTTTACGTCATTGATAGAGAAACATTGTATAACACCCAGGCTTTAAATTGACAAGCCTTCAACTCCATATTAAGTATCTTGCCCATCTTATTTAAGTGTTTGTCTTTGTAAGCTGAGTTCTTGAAATTTCATTTAAATTTCACCAATAGCTGCAGTTGTTTTACGTCTAGTTAAAATTTCAATGGATTGACTTCTTGATGAAAACTGAAGAGCGATGATATTTTGAACCATATATATATTAATAATCATAGAATCTCCATTCTACCTTTTCATCCACTGGTGAACTTTTGGCGAAGATGTTGACTTATTTGAAATTTTTGTGAACATATTGTTACGTATCTGCTTGCTTGATAATTTCCCGTAAAATTTCTTTCCGAGAAACTTCAGCGATACAAGTCCTTTCTTAAATAAAACTAGTTTATTCTTTCTCAATACAACTTTGCAATACAAAGAATTTCCACAGGCACTTTAACTTACACACACGTTATAATTCACAATGATTCACGCACTTTACTTACAGTCACTACCGCTCGCTTGACTCAATTATCTGTCTATCTGCCATTGAATCTCCGCTTTATTTGCCGGGCTTATATACCAAAATAGAGGGCGCCTAGAAAAGACTAGAGTTGCCAGGAACAGTCATGATCCTTCTAGAAACTCCAGCGCGCATGCTTCCAGAGTCACGTGACTTCCGCTGTAGTAACAATATCATTCAGTTTTTCTTTGTAATAACCGCCATTTTTCTTAATGAACTATGAACACCAGGTCGTAATATCAACCCTACTCCAGGCTGTACACGTATTTGCAGTACGCCTACAGTTAAGACTGATATGCCCGAAACGTCGCTTCAAATAATCTACTTTTTTTTAACATTCGTCTGCCAGTATTTTTTTTTATTAAATTCAATCACACAGGCACCCAAAAATCATGAGAGTATTTCGATAATGTTTAATGACTGGTTAAAGAAAGTTGTGATAATAATCTTACAATCTATATAAGAAACAATATCCATATTTAACAGCAAATATAAATTAAATATGATACTCTATGCATTTCTACTATTACGTGTGGCCCTACTTTTGCAAATTCACGTCTCATCAGAGCATATTTTACTGTTTACATTCCACTGCAGCTTGTGTCTTTTTGTTTTATTCTTTTGTCTGTCTCAGCGGTAAGACTGAGGGCTTATAACAATAAAAATTGGATTTCAATACCCGCGGTGGGTATAACACATTGTTCAACTTTATGCTTCAAACAAACAGTCATATAGGTAAATTTATTTTTGGTGAACTATTTATGTGACTTAACCTATACATTTCGTGAGGTAATCATACTACTTTTACCCCCTTTCTTTACTTAAGTAACAATCCCCCTGAGGGACAGCGGTAAGTCTACAAATTTACAACGCTAAAATAAGGGGTACGATTCCACTCGGTGGACACAGCAGATAGCCCAATGTGGCTTTTCAATAAAAACCACACACCATCTTAAATAAAAATAACACATCTCCACGCTTTTAAATAATAAACGGTGGTAAACACTACAATAAACTAAGCCTAATTACCAAAGCAACTGGGATTTATGCAAATTAAATTTTTAGAGAACTTGATAAGTTTAGCTGCCACAAAAAAAAAGAGAGAGAAAAAAAAAAGCTTAATATGTTGTTTAAAACTTTTTATTTGCAAAGGGGGCGCATGCGTGAAACAAAACAATATTCCCGTGAGCACTACGAAACGTTATGACTAGTGAACGGTGAAGTCTCGCTGAAGGCACA